TTTTGATGGTATAAAAAAAGTTAGTCGACCGGAGAACCATTGAAATTCAGTTGAACGAGTTCTCATCGAAAACCCGCTGAAGTTCTACACTGTTGGCATTATGAAGCTAACCGAAAAAATTTTAAAAGATCATCGATATTGACTTGTTTACAATGAATTTTCAATAAAGAAAAATTTTGTTCAAAAATATGCAAAAGCACACGGAGACTTTTTATAATCTAATATGTAATATGTATGTATGAATTTAGATAAGAAAAATAGACATAGAAAGAAAAAACTTTTCTATACAACGAAAATTAAAAAAAAACACAAAATCTAATGGAAAAACCTTTAACTTTTTCTTTAGCTTCATAAAATTATCTTCCAAATAAATATGCTCACAAAAAAAAAGAACAAAAAAAAAGTACTTGCCAAACTGACACTAAACACAGTAAGGCACAAGGATAATTCCTGAAATAGCCATTCATTTTATTTGTAAGGACGTGTATTTAAGGGGCATGACAAAAACCAGCTACAAAGTGTACTTCTACACTATTTATGAGTTTACCAAAACACAATACATATGTATGTATGTATGTATGTAGTGTATATACGGATGTCCAAAACGACCCCTGGCTATTCACCTGCAGCAAACACCTGCTGCGTAAAATTGCAATTTCATATTATTTAAAATACAATTAGTGTTGTAAAGTGCTTGCCAAACTGCAACTAAATGCATATACACATACATACATATACATACATATGTATGTGCGTGTGTGCATACAAATATACTAGTTACCTTTTAGAGAAGAATGGTCTGAGTGAGTGTAAGTAACTATTTGTATTTATATTAATTTATTTGTTGTATATTGCATTGTTCAATTCTAGAAAAGGTAGAAATTCATAAAGCATGAAAAATTGCAATCCCAATCCCCGCGGAGTCATTTAAATACAAAAAAAAAAAATTCAAATTAAATGAAAACAAAATCTATTTATGTATGTTTGAGTGTCGCTTTTTCATAATGTGAAATTTTACACTTGTTTCCTAGTAGTTTTGGTGAAAAGTAGTAAATTCAAAAATTTTATAGAGGGAGGCAACAAGTACATGCATACGTACAAAAATATACATGCATACAGATTGTAGTAAGGACAGACAGGTAAAATACTAATGAAAATAAACACCTGAAACTACTTGCCATCGCATACACACACACACACACACACATCTGCTAGCGCTGTAAGTAGCCAAGCCAAAGCCTGGACTTGGTCTTCACTGAAAGAGAGTGCACGGTGTAAAGCAACAGCAACAGAGGTATTATAAATAAACGAATAAACATATATGTATGTACGTATACATGTATTGAGAGAGCAATCGAAGCGAGAACCTGTTTTGCGCACCTACAACTGAGAACAGTCATCGGTGGGTAATTGAATGCTAACGGCGTTAGTATGCTTGCTAAGTAACAGATTCATAGCTTGCTTGGGAAGGCTTAGCGTATAGTCAGATGTGTGCGAGCCTATGTGTATACTGTATATAAAGAAAAAACGAAACAAAATAATAATAATAATAATAAGGCGAATTGTGTATAAAAGTAATTTATATACAAACATACATACGTACATTTGGAAAAAGTTAATTTAGTGTAAATTAAATTAGAGATATTTTTCTAATCTTCGCAATTATCTAACTACCTAACAAACAAGCATACTTACATATATATATATATATAATTTATATAATACATTACTTGCGCTAAAGAAATTGCTAGATTAGTTGAAGTTAAGTCGCAATTAAATTTTCACTTTATTGCGCTAGCAACACACCCTTGGCGAAGAAAGTTGCTCAGTCTGAAGAGTAGTGAAAACCTTTAAAAGAGAAAAAGAAAATCGCATACAAAACTTCAAATACATACATATGCATATACATACACATATGTACATATGAGCACATTTATATTTTTTACCAAATATAAATATATACATACATATATACATATATTTTTCGACACTTAATGATCATAAACACGCGAAGCTAGCGAAAAAGTAGGACAATTCCACTGTGTTTTGCCAACTCCGAAAAGGACACTGACCACAGCAGCATGCCTTTGCAGAGCGTGCGAGCAAAAATAGTACAAAAAAAAAAAAACCAAGATAAAAAATTATAAAAACAATGTTTCAAAAGTGACATTTATTTTAATGTTATGCTAAGAATATTTGTATGCACGGGAGCATAACGAAATTAATCATCATTACGCTGCTTGCAAATACATACAAACATACATATCTATGTGCATGTAAATGTAATAAAAATGAATAATGCAACGCCCTAAACTTTAATTAACACTAATACTCTGACCTCCATTTGTCTACATAACTAAACTTATTAAATTCACATGGGAATGAGTCACGCGCCAAAAAGTTTATATGAGCAATATATATGCATATACTCGTACATACTCGTACATATGTATAATAATTTAAATTCATGAGAAAGCCTCGCTCAAGTCATCAATAAGATGTAGCGAAGCTCAGTTAGGTACCCTCTTGTTTGAGTGTTCTAAACTAAAGAAGCTTTAGTTAGGCTTTTAATGAAAAGTTAAAAAATCGTTTTAGGCAAATTCATTGCTAATTTCATAAAATAAGTTCAAAGTTCTCTCTTCTTTTTCATTTTTCATAAATTAAAAAAAAGTGGTTTTCGTTGAAATTAAAAGAAAAAAGTTCAAAGCTCGAAAAAAATTGAAATAAATAAAAATGTTGCATAAACAAATTTTGATACAAATTATTATTTTCAATTTTATGAAAAAAGTTTCAAACAAGATCAAAAGCTTGATGGAGAGCTTTCTGCTACGGCAAGCTTATGCTAAATTTTACAAATATTGAGTACTTTGGCAGGAGAGGCGAATAAAAACTTAAAATGCGTACTGATTTTAAAAGAAGTTCCACTAAATCTAGATTTTGGCTTTTCGTGTATTACTTATTAAAAAAATATTTATACAGTTATATAAAATTAATCTGGTTTAAAATATGTTTTATAGTTGAAAAGCAATTACGATAATTATTACAACAATAATTTCAATTCAATTGGAAATTTTTACTTTAACTATATAAAAGCATTTATTTAATAATTATTTTGGAAACTTTTCCTTTATTTTCTGAAATTTTAAAAGCATCTCTTTTAAATTTTTTTTAAATTTTTTTAGTATCAAACATTTTTTTATTTTATTGTAATATCAAGTTTTTTAAATAATTTAATGAGAAATTTGTCATTCATTTATTTCTTTTTAAATCTTTATTTATTAAAGCAAAAGTGTGTTCATTTTATTGTCACAAGCTAAATACTTTCAAATAATCACGAAATTTTTAATTGATTGCTTATTTCATTGTTTTTAAACAATTATTTCAATATTTAATATGAAATTGTTTCTAAATTTTTATTCATTAAAAACAAATATTTTTTACTTTATTACATTAATTTCTTGAAAATTTTCGCTGTAATTTAATTTAATTAGGAAATTTTTCATTTCATTGTTTTTTAACGTTTATTAAAAATTTTATATATAATTATTAATTATTTCTTTTTTTATTTATTAAAAAAAATATTTTTGTTCTATTAAATTAACTTCATTGAAATTTCCACCATAATTGCACTTAATTAAGAATTTTTTATTTCACTTATTACTTAAAAAAACGTTTATTTAAAAAAAGTTAATTAAAAATAATTTTTTTCATCAACACAAAAATTTAATTTCATTAAAATTTCCACCAAACTTTAAAGTTTTTCACTATTTCCAAAAAATATACGGTCTGTGACAGCTCCATAAAACTTAAAAATCAAAAACAACTCAACAAAAAACAATGACTTCAAAAAGCTTCTAAAAATTTCATTTAAATAAGAATGTTTTTACTTAATTTATTGATTTCAAAAACATTTATTTCATAATATATTAATAAAAAAATTACTTGATATTATTTATCATTTTTTATTGATTAAGAAAAATGCTTTTATTTATTTTATTGCAAAATTAATTTCGTAAAAATTTCCAATATAATGTAAACATTTTTTTTTTATTTTTTTGTGTTATTTATTATTTATTTAATAATTAATGTGATTTTAAAATAATTGAGTTTGAAGTTTTGTGAATTAACCTTTTCCTCAAGAAAAAATATATTATTTAATCTATTGCAGCATTTAATTCTTTAAAATTTTAAGCGTAATTTGTAACATTATGATATTTTCCATTTATTATTAGTTTAAAATTAATTATTAAATATTTTTATTTTTAATTAATTTAATTTTGATGTATTATATGTATTCGTAATTTATTAAATTCAAATATGTATATTGTTATTCATTTTTTTCAATTAATCATAACCATATTTTCATTGACATTCCAATAAAATTTGTGAACATTTTTTTATTATTTACAATTTTTTTTATTTATTACATTTGGAATGGATTCATTTCAAAATTTATTAATTAAAATTTTTAAAATTAAAAACTTTAATTGGAATTTGTTATTTATTGAACGCAATTATTATTATTATTTTTTTATTACAACATAATTTCCTTGAAATATCGAAAATATGAAAACATTTAATAAGGCAATTTTTCTTTCATTTTTTTATAATTTTTTTTACTTATAAATTATTGTTAATTAAATATAATTTGGCAACCGTTATGAATTTATCAATAATAAAAATTTTATTATATTTTCAAAAAAGTTAAATTAAAGAAACAGTTATGAAAAAGAGAAATATAGTTTACAATTTATTTTCTCTAGTCGATTTGGCATGGTACGTGTAGCGGTTCTAATTATAAAAATTAAATTATCAATTAGTTCTACTACACTCCCCCGCTATACTCAAAAGAAAATATTTTAGTAGCACTTTCCCACTGCCCGTAACCCTGAAAAATCTGATAAATTTTCAGTATTTAAAATTATATTACCTCCCTATTTGAAATTTTTACACATTTTCCTTATAAAGTATAGAAAACAAAAACTTTATACAACACATACCTGTTGGTAAGATGGCATTATTCTCACGGCGCCAGGTAATCGATGGCGTCGGGTAACCGCTAGCATAGCATTCCATCTGCACTTCACTACCTTCGCTTGCCACCACCGATTGTGTTGAATTGTCCGAGATGACCGGGGGACGACGCACAGAAAGTTTCACATTGGCGCTCACTTTATGCACGACGGATATGACCACTTGACATGTGTAGGTACCGGCATCAGTCTCTTGAATATCCTTTATTTGCAATTTATATGTGGACGAGTTGGGATCGTGACGTAGCGAGAAGCGTGAATCTTTAATTACCAACGTTGAGCCGGTCGATAGGAAGACAGGATCCACATCAGTCTTTGACCACAAAACTTGATAATCACTAGCGTACTGTACCGAACAATCAAATTCGACTGTGCCACCAATATCCTTAATTTGTTCTTGTGTTATATATGAAATTGTCGGAGTACGTTGCGCTTGCGCACTGCCCGCCAATAGCGCCAATAAGCCAACAATCATGGCGGCAGCAATCGAGGTGGCTGATGAGGACGATGACAATGACGACGACATTGTATTGGCCACGAAGTGGTTAGCTTTCGATCTTTTTTGTGACAATATGCACCACATTGTGAAAACTAGTTGTATGTATGTTTGTATGTATTTGGATTTGTATTAATATTAAGCACAAAGTGTAAGCGTTAAATTCACGTAGCGAAAATTCTACACGCAATTTAATAAACTTTTAATATGTTGTAAAAAATATGTACACACCACACCCTAAAATAGCCTAATGAGTGAGCAGTATATTGTTAAGCAGTTTATTTTATGAATAAATAAGTTTTCCAAGTATGCTCGTTCGTTGCTTGACTCGCTGGCTGACTGATTGGCTTACTTGCTGCTTCTTTCTTGCCGTAGCTTTTTTTAACTGTTGCTGCTGCGGCTACTATTACTGTCGGTGAGAATTTCAGAGTCTGGCTTCAGCGATCACTTTGCATCCATACGAATTACAATACACACAAATGGCGCAAACACACGTAAAGAGGTATAAAACGAATAATTTTACTCAGTGCAATTGTCGTTGCGAGAATTACACTATTTTGTTGTTGGTTAATGTGTCTCTCTCCCTTTATTTTCTGTATTCTAACTACAACTACACGCTCGGATGCTGACAATTTTCACCTTAGCTTTTAATCACAGCTTGATTGTACAACAACACTTGGCAAACGTTTAATATTTTCTTTAGCCTCTCGTTTATCGCACACTTTGCTTTATGAGAAATAAGAAATGTCGCTATTTTACTTGCTTCTTTAGTTTTTTCTCTTCTCTAGTAACCAATAAAGTTCGGTAGAAAGCAATGTGAAAAAAGCACACGCTCGCTCGTTCGAATATACACGTTCGTTGCTTTAAGCCCAGTTTAATTTAGTTGTTGGCGATTATTGTTGAATGCTCACGAAACGTAACGTATTCTTCGAAGAAAACACCGTTCACTACACGTCCACAAGCGTTGACTGTTGCACAGCGAATGAGCGGCATAAATAAGATACAACGCCAGCGTAGGATACATTTAATATTTGGCGCTCGTTTGCTTTTGCTTTTGCTGGCGGTGGTGGTGGTGGTGGTGGTGTAGTGTATGCTCGCTCGTTTTGTTCGTTAACTTTTCAAATATTACACCAATAAAGATGGCGCAGAGTGTAGTGTATAGCAGAGAGTTGGTGAGTTTCCACTGAACTGAGTTGATGAGCACGGCACAGGTTTAAATGTGTTAGTGTAGGAGAGGTAGGCCGGAGAAAAGTAATCTTGACTTGCTGCCAACAAATTGTTGATTTAAGCCGCAAAACACAGGTAAGCAAAATTAGGGTGACCAGAAAAAAAATTTGGGGGTATATTCGAAAAATATGGATCATTTCAGCTTAACAAATTAAATAGTCTAAATGCATATGTCTTATGTTTTCAATGAAAATGGTCTCATAAAACATTAGGATAGTTTAGTTTATAGGGTTTATCGATTACACTCATATCTCAATAAGGATCATTGAGATAATACAAATTCCTCACCATAAGGTTCTGCTATCGAACCATTTCGATTCTTTGATAAAATTCTTTAGGTCAATAATTTTGGAGGCCATCAATAAACTATCACATCTCTTCCTCTTGCTACTGCAGTATTTCCTATAAGAAGTTGCCTACATTTATGCTTTTTGTCGTATCAGATAGTGGCTTGTCAGAACTCCTAATAACTTGCGCATGCCCTTTCTTTTTAAGGAGTACATTTCTAGTGAGCTGTCTTACTGAAGACGAAAAGGAGGAGCTGTTTACGGGGGGAAAAAAATTCATGTCGATACTTTTCTTATTGAGTAGACTCGGCTTAGTTGAGCCTTGCCTGATAGCTTCATTCGATATTTCTATATCCAGAAGCCCTTGTGAGAGATATATTGTCCTGTTTATTCATCTCCTGTTTCGTTGAACCGTATTGAGTTTATCGTAAGCGATCCCAGCGATTATGAAAATATCATTATCTCTATGCTTTACTGTCACCAACAAGGCAAAAATCTCCTGCTCCTTACTGGCGTAGACACCGCTAACGTGTTTATAGCCGAATTTATAACATTGCGTCATTCATTTCTTTTTTTCGCTGTTTGGCGCCAATTTGAGACACCAAATACAGGCACGTCCTTCTCTGCCTGGTCTTTGCAGCGTTGCGGAGGGCCATATGACCTAAGTAGCGCAGCCGCTGTTTCTAGACTTGCTGAACTATGTCAATGTCGCCGCACATCTCATACAGCTCATCATTTGATCGGCTGCGGTATTTGCCGTACCCAACTCGCAGAGGATCATAAATCTTACTTAAAACCTGGCTCTCAAAAACTCCTATCACCGACTCATCAGATGTTGGCATCGTCCATGCTCCCACACCATATAGTAGAACGGGAACGATAAGTTACTTGTAGAGTTTGGTTTCCGTAAAGAAAAATTTATAAGCCGTATAGCTCCTAGGGATAAACCTTTCATCGATTTTTAGCATTCAAACTTTCGGAGTCTTTGTCGAATTTATTCCAAACCATAAAAGATCTTGTTTACCTTTAGAAGGTAAAAATGGCTGAGGTGGAAAAGTCGAGGAGATGGTACGTTCAAGCCTTTTATATTGTTTAATATTGAGAACCGACACACTTCATCTATACAAACCGATCGGCCGAATGGCGAATCTCTGGATGCTGTTTCATACACAGGTGAACTTCACGTCCAATTCTTCATGAAGCCTTGCACCATTCGCGTTAGAAGAAAATAGTTTTTTTCTTAAACTTCCTCAATTCGGGTTCACGTAGCTATACTGGAAAACTGATATAGGTAATAGTTTCGATACCATACCCATACATTTGAATTATTAATACAAGCTTTGGAATGAAACTGCTTTAGGCATTCTATTAATACACTTTCGTAATTAACATCCATTTTCATTTTGTATACTACAGTTAAAATATTGGCTATACATTTTGTAGTATATGCATTTTTGTGGCCCGAAATAGATAGAAAATCAATTTTTCTAAATGTAGGCGCCCTGGCCGGCCATGTCAAGCCCTCCGAGTATATTTCTGACGTGAAATAAAAGCTTTTCATAAAAATACATCGTTCGAAGCCAGCTTTGTATACTCGTAAACTGTAGATCCCTCCATTTGTTGGAAAAACATCAAGACTCGGAACCATAATTGAAAGAGATGATCGGCCGAAAATCGCTTCAGCGGTTACGAAAAAGCCATTTTTGGTTTCTTTCTCAGAGCAAAATATAAACATAAAAAATAAATATAATTTTCGCTTAGTTGCACACCTTTCTAATAAAAAGTTGATTTTTTATATTATTTTGTAGTTTTCAAAATAAATGTCCAACTGAGCTTGCCAATATTAGAATTTAGTGTGTTCATAGCAACCAACTTCAAGAATTATTTTCCGTGGTGCCACTTCTTTCTCATATTAAACTTTTATACCTTAGTTTGCGCAAAGAACGTATGTATATGAGATTCGTGGGCAATTTTTTTAGACTTCGCAAATTCACGGATTGTTATTCCTCTTTAAGTTTAATTAAAATATATTCAAATTATTATTTTTAATCAAAATACATATTTTATTTTAATCAGCATTTGCTTGCTCTTGCTGCTTAGCTCTGGCTGTACGCTCGACAATACCAAAACAGGCAACAGCCGCTATAAGCAATACAATTAATATTGCTATTTGTATATATAAATTTGTAAATCTTGAATATAAGTAAGATATTGCGCAACCGAAACACTGAGTTTAAGAAAGAAGAAAAAAAACAAAACAAATATTTATAAATTATTTCACATATTTACATACAATATTTACAATATATGTATATATTTACTTGAAAGAATTTGTATATACCAAATCCAGCCGACGATTCAGCAACAAAACCACCTGCCAACATACTATATATATTAACGGTATAAAGCGCAGCTCCCAGGCCATAGAGAAAGCAACAAATTATAGCCAAGTAGAAATTTGGTGGATCCACAACGGAAGCAGCTTGATTTTCACCAAATGACGATTCATACGGTATATTAATGTAGATGATTATAAATGTTGTTAAATGGAATACACCTGCCACGTACATGAACACATCACGACCCCAACGTACGGTTAAATCACCCAAGAGAGCGAAGAATACTGAACCCAGAAATCCACCACAACCCTTCAATATATAGCCAATAAATGATAATTCATCTGGATATATATCCATATTTATTCTCTGTGTATACACCATGGCCGGACCGTAGACTCCATTATAGAAACCTTGTACTAATCCTATTGGGGATAAAGTATTAATACATACACGTATGTATATGTATGTAGTCAGTTTTAGGCATTTTTCAGGCGCAAGTCAAATGAGCTGCAAAAATGCAGTAAGCAAAAAAAAAATTAAGGTAAAGTTGCAAAACTTATAATTTTTTAGTGCTTTAACTAAATAATGAGTAGAAATTAGGGTTTTTTTGTGCATTAAAAATTCAATGAAAATAAATTATTTTTTTTAGTTTATTTAAAAATTCAGAACTACTAACTTTTTAATAAATTAAAAGACCCGTGATCTGATGGGCAATAACAATTGCTACTGAATTCTTCTGAATTGCTTTCGGAGGCGAAATGCCAGTAAAAGAAATATCATATTAGTATGGTTTGAAGGCTTTGAAGCTTAAAGAATTACATCATTGTTATAGTTCAAGAATTTTTGTATAAGACAATCAATAATTTAAAAAATCTACAAAACTGTCAATTTTATTAAAACTCTTAAATAATAAATTGTATAAATAAACGGATTCAAATGTAACTGGCAAAATAAAGAGCTTAGTAAATTCCTCCCTTTGGCAGAGTAAAACAATTTACTCTCTCAATTGAGACTTTACAGGCATTTCTCAACTAACAGAGCTAATAGCCAACAACGAAATGTCAAACTGCACTCTTTTGGTGCAAGTTTTACTAGCATTCGCCTCACCGAACGCAGTTCATTAAAACAAAACGATTTTTTGTAAGTAAATTAAAAAATAATTTGATATAAAAAAAATATTTCATTATATCTTTTAGAATTTTTACTGTATGTTTCTTTAATGCATTAGCACAACTCTCTTACATACATACATATGTACAGTATGTCAATTAATTGTTTGCAACATGAAAAAAAAAACACAAAAATCGCTTTTCAAATTTTGTTATATAATTGAAAGTATTTTATTTTCCTTTCTTTTTTAATAATTGGTATTGTTAATCTTAGTACTATTAACAAATATCGCTCGCAGAAAAACAGACATTAAAACCAATAATAGTAAAAAATAAGAGTAAAAAACTAAGAAATTTAAAATTCGCCAAATATTGCGTTGTCAATTCAATCAATTAATTCTTTACAAAATGTTCACATAATTCAAAATAAAACGTAGACAAATTAACGGTACCACAAATTTGAAAACGAATGAACGCGTGCGTCATAGCTATGCGTTGCTCTATTACATTCAATTCGATTAATGCTTTGGTCAATTCAGATCTGGTTGATTTTGCGCTTTTAACAACGCCTGGCAAGCGAACTAATGAAAATCTTATTCAATTAGTTGATTTCCACTACCACAAAGGAAAATCGGCTTTTCCATCAAGCTTAGAACGATTTAGAATATTATTAAGCGCGCAGAAAAAGAAAACCGGTTGGAGTTAAAGCACTCTGGAGGTAGACCACCGAAACTCTCTTTCTAGACGCGATCATTCAAAAATTTTAAAGCAGATCGGTGATAATCTTCAAACCACCCTGAGAAGATTGGCGTTAGACTCTCTCTTTATGGCACGAGACAATCCGAAAAGTCTTAAAATTACACAAGTACTCCTCGCAAATAGCTAGAAATTAAACCATTGTTGTCGGTAGTCAATATTGAGAAGCTGCTCAAGTTTTCTATTGCCAATTTTTACAGGACTACGGAATATTGCGATGACGTTATTTCTAGCGAGGAGGCAAAAATAATATTATACTTTCGTGATGGACCCAGTAAAGTTTGGAGAAAACCCAACAGAAAAATTTGGTAAGCTTTCTGTGAAGGTTCGGGGCTGCATTTCGTCGAAAGGTGTTGGTGAGCTCCGAATTTTCAATGAGGTGATGGCGAAAGAGTTTTACTTGAACATTCCAAAAAGCGAATTGTCAAGGAGTGCGATAATATTTGGTCTTTCGTCCATGAAAACTCTAATAAAGTAATGCACAAACTGCACCAGGACGACGATACCAAACATAAATCATTGCTGTGCTGGTCGTGACTACTGTATAATTGCAGTAAAGTGTTTGACACTCCTGCCCAGAGTCCAGACATAAACCCCATAGAAAATTAATGGGCTTTTTTTAAAGAAGCGAGTGGGCAAACGGGGCCCAACTAATAAAAAAACGCTCTTATTAAGGTCATTCAGAAAGAGTGGAACAAAATATCTGAAAATTATGACTTAAACAATCTTATTCAGTCCATGCCCCGTCGTATTCGAGCTGTTATACAATAGATGCAAGTGGCCATCATGCCAAATATTAATACCAACACCGCTATATATTTTCCCAGTTTTAATATTTGCTGTCTCTTGAATTTTTGTATCTCTTTCACTTTTATGTCTTACATTCTGGAATTTGTGTGCATTATTTTTGTTAAGATTACTCAGACTAATATTATTAAAAGAATAAAGTTAAATAAAATTGTTTTAGTTTAATAAAAATCAAGTTGAAAAATTAATTTGTTTGATTTTTTTTCCATTTTGCAAACAGTTAATCGACATACTGTAAGTAAGTACGAAACGTACCTGAATAAACGAAGATCACCACCAGCAGCAGCATATCTCTTTCAAGAAGCAGCACAATGTTATCCCGAATCGTGAGGAATACCGCAGCGCAGGAATTCTGTTTTTCCTGTTCTATCGTTTGATTGCTTTCCGGTAAGCGTATAAAGTATAACATTATAACGCCAATTAGACAGAGAAATGTCAATATACCGATAATTAAGTAACGATCTGAATTGGTGAATTCAGCAACATTGATATATTTGAAATATATCAAGATGGCGGATATAATATAACTCGTTTGTTGGAACGTAAGGAATATGCCGGAATTGCGCGTAACGGTATTGCTGTCACTATTTCTTGCGATGTAGTTACCTTGTGTTATATATACAAAAGCAGAGCCAACACCGAGCGTAATATTCAAAAAATACAACAGCCATGCAAGAGGATAGAGAAAGTGCGCTATAAAGAAACTGAAACAAAAAATTTACCGTTGGAGTGTACATTTTTTGTAAACAATTAAAAAAAAAAAATAAAAATAAAAAAATTAAAATAAAAAATAAAAAATCACATACAGAAAAGTGCAGGTACCAATTATCAGTGTCCAGCGTGGACCGACCACAGCTATGAAAGGCGGTACAAACCAGCAAGTTGCCGAAAAAATAAAATAATAAAGTCCGAGACTGGTGAAGACGCTGTGTTCGAAAGAGCTTTGTTTCTCACTTCCAGAATGTAAAATTTTTCTCTGCAATTTGAAAGCATTTTTGTTTTCATGTATTTATATATAAAATTATGCATATAATTTACCTGAAGATTGGTAGTTGTCTGGAACGCAAAGAAAATTATAAGAAACGTGATGCTCAAGAACAAAATATTAACCAATTTTGCGTCCATCTTCATTTTTCGAACGCTTTTAACTGATTATCACAAAATTCCAATAAATAATTAAAAAATTTTTCAAAATGATAAACAAATCAAATGTTATGTTACTGTAATGATCGTTTTGGATTCTTGAATTTATTGCTCGTTTTATTGAAAGCTTATTATTCATACATTTAATCGCGGAGGGTGGCATCTCTGCAAGAAGGCTTCCAATCATTTACATGGTTTACATAGCATACTCGAAAATAAGGACATAAAATAAAACGAATTATCCGTTCAACTGAATTCTCCTTCAATTTGTATGTACTCAGAAGAGAAAGATAAAAAAATTTGCTTATTGGTTAGTGCTGCCCGAAATCTTTTTCAGTGTATTGGTGAACCCATCAGCCCGTTCTTGCAGGGACTCCAACGATTTAAGATTTTTATGATGCACTCCATAACTAATGGGTTTTTATGGGCCTTCAAGTATAGCTGGAAAAATAACTTTCCGCTTTGGAGTAGGATGTCAGCAGGCTAACTCCGATTAAATAACGGTTCGAAAAGTTATGATGCCATTTCTTACCTAAGTAGAGATTAAGGGTAATTTAGAAGCGCCTTTCTGGCTGCTGAAAAGTGTTTCAACTAAAGAACTCTGAAAATACCTACTTCGTGGTGCTTGTTGTATTGAAGAGAGTACATAAATGTATATTGTGATCTGACGATAGTCTTCCTAGCTTCTAATGAGGATTATGATTGAGTGAGGCAGTGGATATGAACAGAACTCTAGACAGTCTCTAGATCAAACCTTTTCACATTGAATAACAAATACGTTCACACGCAACAGCTTTTTTTCATAGCTGCTGCTTTATAGAGAATCGTCTTTAAACCATATGGTCTGGGACCCCTGACATCCTTCATGAAGCCTAGCGTGGTCATTCTTATGACCGCTCTTTACCTGCACAGTGGAATCTGCTTTTGTATCACACCAATTTAGTTTTCTACACATATTCATAACAACAAAAATAAATATTAGAAATTTTTTTTTTTGTAAAATATTTAAATAGAAAGTATTTTTTTAATACACCAGATAGCTTAAAATTATTTAGCAATAACAATAAATCATTTATTAAGGCGGCCGCGGTAGCAGAGTGTTTAGCATTGCATACTGCCATTCGGAAGGCTCGGGCTCAAATCCCCGTGCGACCAACACCCAATATAGAAAATTAATTTAAATAAAAAAGTAAGTTAAACTTCTAATTACGACCGCCCTCGGCAGAGGATGTCAACCCCTCCGAGTGTATTTCTTATATGAAATAAAGCTCCTCATAAAAAAGCTATCAGCCATTTGGAGGCGGCTTTGTATAAACTGTAGGTCCCTCCATTTGTTAGAAAGACATCAAGACGCAAAACTACAAATTGGAGGGGGAACTCGGCCGAAAATCACTTCAGCAGTTACAAATCGCCAATTATATGTATATATGAACTTATAATAAATATTTGTTTCATCTGAAGAAAACTACGTAGCTCTGTCCACACCTCCTCCTAAGGGCTACGTGGCTATAGCTTAGCCAAAATACGAGGTTTATGGACGCTCACAAACCATGGTCAAAGGACGTATATTAATAAATATAATATACGTTCTTTGTCGTGGTTAGTGGTTTATCGTCGTTTTTAAAATATTATAAATAAATTAGAAAACAAATATTTTGCACGCCGCTGTGTATGCAATGTCAAAATTTTGCAAATATTTAAAAATGTACAGCAACAGCAACCCTGAAGTAAACGTCAATTTTTATAATTACAATTTACTTTGTTGTGCTCCTGTTCTTAATAAATAAGATTGAAATAGTAAAAAAAAATTGCTCTTACAAAACAATAGAAACTAAACAAAAATTTTTACATTAAAATTAGTATTTATTAATATTTAAAAACATGACTGCAGTAGAACGTTTCGATGTAGAAAAAGTAGCGAAAATATTCCAAGATTGCCTGCATGAATCTGACGATGTGCTTTTGGATTCTTATTTAGAGGCTTATGAAGAAATCAATAAGTTTGTATTAGATCCATATTGGAGACCATGATAATTTAAAAATTAATTTATTGCAGATTTTTTCATTTAATGGGATCCGTGTTCGGATTTGTTAGTAGTGATGTACGTAGTAAAATCGATATACTCTGTGAATATAGACGACAGGAGACAACAGGTGAACGCTTCTTGACCATTAAAACTATGATAACTTATGAAAAAGAAGAGCAACTGCTTAAGGATAACAATTATGTCTCAGGCTCACGAACGCTACTACGACTGCATAGAGGTTTGGGTAAGTTAATTAAAAATTTGTAAAAATAGCACGTATGTAGTTCTCTTTTTAATAAAATATACACGTAAGCAAAGTTTTTGAGAATTACAATTTTCGTTCAACTCATGTTATCATATTGTCACGGTTGTATAAAAATAGAAAAACAAGATGTTATTTACGTCAGCTTTTTATGCAGCGTTTAATTTAAGTTACCATGGATCGCTTACGCTGATATCTAATCTAGACTAAAATTTTATTTGAACAAGTACATTTGTTTGTTTTAATTTTCTTGCTTTTATTCCAGAGTTTATATACGAATTCCTCAAGAGATTGTCTGAATTGAATGAATGTGATAAGACGCATGGCTGTTGCAAGAGTGCTTACAATGACACGTTAGCGAAACATCATCCATGGGTGGTGCGAAAAGGTGCTGTCGTTGCAATGTATGCCCTGCCAACGCAAGGCGAATTGCTAAAACGTGTTTGTATAAATGTTTCCCGTGCGATAGAGGTACTACCTGAAATGCTACAGCATACAAAATCGGTATACGATCGTGTTGAATTACTTTATACTGCTCACGACTTGCACGCATTACCCTAAAGTATTCAAATATCTGTAAGCTAAGCTAATAGGTATATTAAAGTTGTGTGAAGTTAAATAGAGCATTCCACATGAAGTTTAAGTTAAATTTTTTAATAAAGTGGCATGGTTTTCTTTCAAAAAATAATATCAGTGTGAGCAACGATCGCTCAAAAATGCTACATACATGCATTGTTATATATGTTCGCTTGATTTTTTGCTAAAATATTTTTAACTAGTGCTTAGGCTTAATGATTAAACTAGAAAAATTTCGATAATATTAGTAAAAAGAAAAAACGCATTATTGATTCCAATTATTGTAATTTTAACGAAGCTGATAATATTAAATATATTAACGTTAATAGCTTATTTTCTAACTAATAAGGCGTTTTCTTTGCGGACTTTTTGTTTTTATGTTTAAATGTTTTTGAGCTGTTTGCTACAGGTGCATCATTAAGGTCAGCACTTCCTGCGGACCAAAGAGTGACAAGTCCAGATTCACCACCGGTTACCATAACGCCGTTCTAAAAATTTGTTTCAAAATATTTTATCGATGATATAATGTGTAGAAAATAAATGGTTTACCTTTTTATTAAATATGCTTGTACGTACAACTTGTTTATTTCCAATAAAATCGGCAACCGGTGTTAAGTCCTTATTCAAACGTAGCGTACGGAGAATCTCGCTTTAAAATAAATAAACGTTATTAGTATATAAATAAAATTGTTTTAATATGCAAAGCTCAAAGCAATCAACTCACCCTTTATTAATATTGGTACCAGCCAGTAGGAATATGTCGCCGTTTTCCGAGCTGTGAGCATCAACCACATAACAATTCGCCTCGTTTGATCTTTTAGTTGCCGCAGTAATATGGCTTCGTTCGAATTTCGCCACAACGTCTCCCTCATCCGCTTGATATACATAAAAATCATTTGTGTGTGTAATACAAGATATTAAATCTTGCTCGTAAACATTCTTATGCCTAAAATAAAAATAACATTATCAAGTTTTTAAATAAAATATGCACCATAAAGTTTAGACATACCAATTAAGTTTTTGAATAGTACTCTCTGTGTTAATAGTCGCCATCAGAGCATCGTCTTCAGTTGGCTCCTTAATATCAAATATGTTAATTAAGCCATATATTGAACCGGAGCACAGGAGATCCGGATTTACGTCATGAAACCGTACTGCGGAGATATCATTTTCATGACTTTCGTTGTATTCCCCCAGTGGCTTACGCTCTCGTATATCATAAAATAATAGAAACACATTACCATGGCTTTGCTCGGTACCCATACAAAGGATGCGGGCATTTGAATTGCTGTCGAAACAGTTTATAGCTTTCCTTTTAGCTCCGTCTTGTACGTTTGCCATATTCTCTTCAAAACAAACTTGTTCTTTTTGTGTACGCAAATCAAATAATCTTACGAATCCCCGACTATCACCAACTAATAGGTGATTGGGTGATTCATCTAGATAACGTAACCCGCATATACTTACGGGCTCGTTACTACCCGTTTTGGGCATATCAGTAAAGGTAGAGCGTGTCAAGGTAAGTCCAGCATTGGTATCAAAAATGTGCACAAAACCACTTGATAGGCCGGCTACAACGTTTGTAAAACCACTTTAAGTAAAGTACATTTGTGTATGTAAATATATACCAAAAATTAAAAATTATTTCATTCCAAATGTCACAAATGGACTTACTTGTTAGCTGTTAAATGAAGTACATAATCCTTTTTTAATGAAACTGCTGATTCGTCTGCGATTTTACATTTGAGTTTAAAGAACTTGTCGAGTTCCTCTGGGCTACACGTGTTTTGATCGTCTAAAAATGTCGCATCCTCTTCCGATTCGTCGTCAGAAATGGTAGCAAGCGGTAAATGAGTTTCGCCTACACATGAAGTGAATTAATATTTATAAAGATTTTTGTTCTTTAAAGAATATATACCGCCGGAATTTGAGTTTTCCTTCATTTGTTTTGATAACGAACGCGCAACGTGCTGAAGTGATAACAAACAAGCAAAAATGTTATATTTTTTGTTTGTTTGTTTAGATGAACTATGCAATTTACACTTAGAATATATTACAAGAAACTTTCAAAGTTCTCCTATTCCTTTTATTTGAGTTTGTATTCGCTGAGTCTACTTCTACTCCAGTTGCTTGATCCAAATAAATAGTTGTCTTTGGCAGATTATGGTTGTTTATGGAGCAGTATGGGAACTATTGTTTTGGTGCTAATTTTTCAACCTCTGGTGTACGCTCAGCATAGATGTCGCTGTTGTCGCAGAGTATGGTGAATTAGGATTTTTCCTAAAGGCGTTTCACAGAGGCAAAAAAACAAATTGATCTTAAAAATACAATTTTTTAATTTTATTATATGTAATACTTGTAGTGGTAGAATTTTCAAATTATATATATAATATATCTTGCACTCTGAATCCGTTTAGTGTCATATATTTTCTGAATATAACCCGTTAAAAATATTATTCTAATTCTGTTGTGCATAGCAGGATGGGATGAAAAATATATCAATATCATAATTACCAGGGTATAATATTTAAGTATCTTTTTAATTTTATTTCGAACATCGAAAAACTATGAAAAAGAAAATTAATTTTTTGAGCTTTCTGAGCAAATCTTTTTTGATTGTGACCTTTCACCTTATGAAATTTCACCATGCTTGCTGTCAAAATCTTTATTCAACCCCATGGTACCCTTGCAAAATTCATAGGCTGCTCTCAGCTGTTAGCTGATCTCGTAAAACAGCTGATAGGTTCCTTACTCTCAATACTCTGCGAATAGAGAAGATGGGACAACATTTTTGTTCTCGTTATCAAGAGATGCACGAATACTGAGAAAAACTGAAATCAAAATTAAGCGAACAAGGAATATTTTGATTTCACCTGTTATACTCTGTCATACTTACATATACAAAGTAAAGAAAACATCGTCTTAGCCGAGACAGGCAGTAATTTACTAAATACCCGTCAACCTTTATTCAGGTTACTTGTAAACCTTAAAACAAAATTTACCTCGCCGAAAACCTTTGTTTTAATAAAATGTAAAGAAATAATGCATTTTAAAGGGTTTCAGAGAAAACTACACAATGGTATTGTCGCTACCTGCTCAAGGTGCTATGTTTCAATGACGTTTGTGTCAATTTTCACCTGCAACTACAACAAATAAGGACATATCTTCTTCCTTTTTTATATGTATTTAATAAAGTATAATATATAAAATTAATTCACAAGCATGTTAGAAATTTCTTATTCAAAAAATTTTTAGTATACAGTTTCAAATATTGTTCGTAGCGATCTATTTATATGTATGTATCTATTTCAATTTTTAACAAAAAATAAAACGTGAAGCATAAATTTCTATATGTAATATGTAAGTATGGTACGCACATATGGTTTCAACAGTATTTACATAAAATCGTCATAATCTTCTGCATAGTCATTTCCGTATTTCTGATAGCCATCAATGTCCTGAATAAGCAGAAAAAAATAAGTAAAAAGTGAAAATATAGTTAAACTTCATTCTTTAATACATACATCAGTTTCGGTACGCAGAGTGACTTTATTTTTTCCTTTACTAGCAGGTTTTTTTGCGTTTTGCTTTTCCATTTTGAGCTTTTCGGTGTGTAAACTTTCAACACTCATTTTCACTTTTTTGATGTCAGCTGTCGACACTATAAAATACATATGTACATATTAATAAAAATTTATTACGACGTATATTTATATGTGTTGTTGGTACAACATAATAAATTTTGAGTTAATTATTAAACACTTACAATTGCAACATATGCTACGCACTAGTTCATCAACAAAATAAGGGAAGTGTGGTGACTCTTTGTAATGTGCCAATTTCCAAGCTATCGTCGCACCAAATTCTTTATATTCTTCTTTCGTTTGTGGATTACAACCCTCCAAACCATTGCCAATACTCGAAACACCGAATGTCTCTAGAGCGCTCTTAAGATCTGATTCTTCTTGAATTTTTTGAATGCGCAATTTTTCTGCTAACTTTTCTTCCGGCGTTAAGTTCGCTAAACGTCTCTCTTCCTCCTCTTCAGCTAAGCGCTAAAAATGTACGAATAATTAGATGTTATGTTTTCATCATATACCTGAGTTAACTTACTTCTTGTTCTGTTAATTTGGCTTTTAAAGCTTTGTTTGGTTTAGTTTTTGTTGGCACTGTTGATTTTATATCGGATTTTTCCTCATCTTTTTTCTCTTCCTCATCTTCCCAGCTGTCCTGTTAATAGAAATCGTTAAAAAAAAAATATTATAGCTTTTATGAAAATAGAATTTAGAAATAAAAAATTAAGATTAATTACATTATATGCTCTTCTGTTACACAAAAATATTGAAATTGTATTTTTAATAATTCATTTTCCATAACTAAGTATAACAGAGTAATGTTTCAAATGCAAAGTGGTCGCAGTCAACCATATAATTCAAAGCAAAACAGTAATTGACCACGTGTACGGAGAGAATACAAGGTAAATTGCAATAAAAAATATTAAAAAGCAAAACCAAAGCAGAGAAAGCATACAAGCAATGCATGCAAAACAAAGTTGGAATTTATATACATAGAAACTGCGTTTGAAAGCAGCGCATACCATTCAAATTTTCATAACAATTTTAATGACTCCATGATCTAATTTTAATAGATAATAACTCCAAATATTACCTTAACATCCTCATCATCATCCTCTCCTTGCCATTTGTTCACATCATTTGCGATTTTGGGGCGTATGATCACCTCCTCATCAGCTGCTGTCTCTATAAGGGGAAATATTTGTTAATACTTTACAGCCTATAAATAGTTGGCGTTTTTAGCTTGCATAATTTTTTTCATCTTTCTTGTGTACGAGCCAACTCACGTTGCCCTTGTGTATTTTTTTTTTTTGTTAAGTGTAATATCTACTGTCAGTGCACATTCACTACCATCAGCGTTTGTGGCACTGTCAATGACAAAATACAATTTACTAGCAACAAACCTTTGATGAATCGACAACATTCCAGAACAACTACTTACCCCAATCATCAGCCATTGTGTGGTATTAATATTTGCAAACTATGAATTTTAGTTTATAGAATTTATTATCGTAATATATTAAAATTTAACTTTTTCCGTATGGGAATAGAGATTTTTCTCAATATTTTTTCCGTGTTTGCACAAAGAATCGAAAGCAAAAAATGTGACAGACAACTTAAAACAACCAAACGTGTGCAAGATTCCTTTGTCCCTTCATCTTAGTGTTCATTTTCGTAGTCAGAGTTGTATTTTTCTTATCACAGCGTTACAAATCTAACTTGACGTTACATAAAGCATCACGAACGTGAAGTTGCGGACGTATACAAAATGTGGCGAATATGTCAAACATGAATGTGAGGTGAAAAGCGGACAGCATATATTATGTTCGTTATTTAGAACTGTAGCTTTATAACAACTTAGCGCGTGCTGCTTGGATATTCCATTGAGTTTGGAACCTGGCATTCACAGCATCAAAGTAGAATGTTAGGGTTGTAAAATAAATCCTCGTGTGTGATAAAGCGAATTGCTTTTTAATGGGTAATAAATAAACCTTGTTGGAGTTGATTACAATTAGGAAATGGAAATGTAGAATGTTTATAAATGACGCATATACATTCTATGCTTATAAAACTCAGAAATCTCATAGACACTGAAAGACTTGGGACTTGCTCTAGTGAATACACCTTTGATAAATAACAAATGTAAATTGATTTATGGTACACAAATATATTCAGGGGGATATTTTTCTCGAAACAATTTTCTTAAAAGATAATTTTTTTTTTGTATCATGGCAGCTCCTTCTTTTTACAATCAGCTGCTTCGCGTCTAACTGTTGTAAGAAGAATGTGGATAAAATTCGTAAATAAGAATAATCAAAAAGAAACCGTAAAGCAACAAAATTGAAAGTTCGTTTATTAAAAAATTAATTCGTTGAAAAATATAAATTCGCCCTCAATGCAAGTTTAAATACATATGTCTGTACTTCAGCAATCCAACAACGCGTTAGTCATTGATTAGGAAGCCAAAAGAGATACAAAAGAAAACGTGTGAATTAAACAAAGAAAACTTTGGTTACACGAAAACTACATAGGTGAGTGGGCTGAGTATATGACTTCATTGCAAAGTACCAAAAAGTTTTTTCTTCCACTTATTCCAGGATGGCTAAAATCATTTCCCAAGAAACTTTTGATGATGTTGTGAAAGAAAATATCGTGGACTTCTCTATGAGTCCCAACGAAGCTAAAGAAGAAACAATTAAACAATTCGAGGCTCAGGTGTGTTATTATTGCTAAATGTATTTTGAAGTAAATTAATGTACATATACCATTTTATTAAAGAATTAATTCCTTTCATCACTTTAGAATAGAATATAAGTAAAGCTGCGATTCATTTTATTTTATTTCTTAGGGTATTAATTTAGCAAACATCATTAAAGACTTGACAATTAATCCAGATACTGGTAAACCCGTATTGAATGAAATAATCGATGACCTTAAAACTTACATTGGCCAAAAATCTACTGACACTGAGCAATTATTAGAGCATTTAAGTATTTTGGATACTGAATGTCAAAAGGTATAAAAAATATGCAAATTGATTTTTACACTCCTAGTATTTAAATGTGTGTTTTTTCTTTTCTAAACGGCAGTCTATTTCCCATCGCGTTTTAGCGGGTAAGAATGGTGCACATGAAGCACTAGTTACGCTACTAGAGCAAGAGCTTGCTAATCCACAGCCGAATTTGACTGTATTAGAGGCCTGCCTTAAAGCTGCCAATAGTTTTACGAACAAACAACCAGACATTTTTGACGCTGAAGCACTAGCCGTTATATTAAAACTGTTGCCTATCGAAAATGAGAATATAGTTATTCTTGCACTTCAATGGCTCCAAAAGGCGAGCATTATGCATGAAATTAATCGCCAACACATTGTGAACGCTGGTGTGGTGAAAAAGTTAAAGCCTTTCGTTTCAAAGCAAAGCAGTTTGAAACTTATACGTGAAGTGTTGGCTGTCCTGCGTTATCTGGTGCTGGACGATGATATACGCGTTGAATTTGGTTGTGCACATGAGCATGCACGTCGTATTGCCAGCGAATATATTGTCGATTTGACCAAACTATTAGGTGAATACCAAGATCCAAATGTGCTGGCAGATCTACTATTAACAATTGGGGCCTTAGCAGTGCGGCAAGAATTCTGTACAACTATTGAAGATGCAGGTGGCATTAAATTAGTTTTCGATATTATGGTGTGTAAGGCCTTTATTTAGCGCTTCATAAATATTTTTTAATTTTATTCTTTTTTTTTTTTTACATGTTTTTTAGACTAATAATGCAACATCTGTGCGCGTAAATCGTGAGGCCTTAAAATTATTGCGTGCATTGGGCGGAAACGATACGGTGAAGGCGCATATTGTTCAGCAAGGCGTAGCACCCGTTATCAAACAAGTGTTAGAAACACATTTGGTTAGTAATTTATTTCAAAACTTTTTCAACTTTCATTAAGTAATACAATTTGTACAATTGCAGGCCAATGAAAATGTGATTTCGGCAGCTTTAGCTTGCATTGCAACATTGACTTTGCGCGTCAAAGATAATAGTACGCTATTTTTTGGCACGGGTATTGCTGAAATTATTGTAGAGACCCTCCGTACGCATTCTAATAATAAAATAGTACAGGTGAATTTCTAATTTATAACTGTTTCATACACTTTCTATTTTATTATTTTTCTTTGCAATATAGCGTAATGGAGCTTGGGCCATTCGTAATATGGTTTCACGTTCCCGCGACCAATGTGAAAGCTGGCTTTCTTTTGGTGCTGAAGATCTCTTGAATGTAGCACTAACATCGCATCCGTCCATTCAACAGGATATAAAAGCGGCGCTTCGTGATTTGGGTTGCAAAGTTGAACTTCGTGAAGAATTCACTGGGGTTGCGGAGAAGAAAATCGTTAGCATGTGAAAACAAAGGGGTTTATGGCTAAAATACGCCCTAGGTATCTGAGGCGAAGCAATTTCCTTGGAATCTTTTCTTTTATAAGAACATAAACGCTGAAAGAGCATTTGGTTAAACGCATTTGAGCTTAGTATTTGCATATTATATATTAATAACAAACTACCACTATATATATTTATTTCATATTTTTACATACTTATACTCATGCTGACAGAGCAAAAATAAAAAAGTAACAACGCGATACATAACATTTAATAACGCAATTAATTTATTTCAAAATCGACGTTTAGTAATGTTCACGAGAAAGCGCTTGAAATGTGAGGCTTTGTTCAATAGTTTCCACCAAGAAAAAGGGGAAAAAGAAGAAACTAAGCATTTTAATTATAGCTTTGTTATATTAATCTATCATCATTGCATACAAAAATATAAACATTACTTAAAATATAGCTACTTTAAATACATGCTAGGTGAGGACCAACGAGGCTCAACTGCGGGCTAGCCAGTTGACTTCATTTGTTTAACTTAAAATTACGCAATCCACCTGCTTTCAGGCGGCTATCTAAAGTACTACCAATTGCTTTTGGCTTCGAGGGCGATATGGAGCGCCTACTGCTTTGTTCAAAGTTTATGCCGAAATGTTTGCCTGTTGCTGAGGTGGAGCTAATTGCTAAGCGTGGTTTTTTCATTATGGAATACTGTGGAAGAAACTGATTATTGCATAAAATTCTATGACATTCAAAATAAACTTCAAATTAACCTTTTCCGTGATATCACTTTGAGTCTTACGTAACATGCCTAAGCTGCTGCCATTGCTTTGAGCGGTAATTGATTTTTCAGTCTTTTTGGGCGAAATTTTCAAGGTAGCCAATTTTGTTGTGGTGACACCTGTACGATCTGGCAGATTGTCGGTATTGCGTTTAAATAATGGCATCAAGCCTATGCTGCTGGACTTAATATTGAGATAGGGAGAGTTGGAGTCTTCTATTTTCTTAATGTTTTCCTTCTACAAAATAAATGTGAACGTTTAAACAAAATAGTCAAAAGAAATCCATATTATACGCACAATTGTAGGCGATAATGTTTGGCGTTTTTCCGACAAAGCAATTGGTGCTAAATCCGTGCTTTTTCTACGATGTTCGCTTATGAAGCTTATGGGCGCTTTAGCTTCTTGAGTTTTAAGCTGAAAGCAGGAAAAACTCGTAAAAAAAACTTCAACATAAATTTTGAAAAACATACTTTTTCTTGTAATTGGTAGTTTTCGCTCTCCAACTGCGAAATGCGTTCCTCACAAGATCTGTAATGTAATGTTTATAAATATTTTTTCCATACATACACGCATATATTTTGAATTTGCATGCGTTTTTGTTTTGGATTTCTTACTTTTTATTAGCCATTTCTTGACGTAGGTTGTCCTGCATTACTTTCATTGCTCTACGCAAATCCGTCTTTTTGGTTTCACATGCCCGCAGTTCACTAAAATAAACCCCAAACAAGTTTAAGTTTATGTTTGTAATTAAGATGACCAACTTCACGCTCCACAATAGAGGCATTTACTTACCGCTTAAGAGCCGCCACCCATGCGCTTAATCGGACAGGATCCTTTTCTATTTTGAGCATCTTTTCAGCTTCTGCACTTGTTGAGGCAAGAATCGATTGCACCGATTCTATCGTTTTAATTTGTTGTTTTAAACGTTCCACTTCTTTGCGTAAGTCATCTGACATTTTCGCTTCAGTCTTAAGGATTTTTAGCTAAACTAAACATTATTAGATACTTATTATAAGCAGAATATCATTAAATACTAACTTGTTCCGAATAGGAAAGAATAATGAAATCGTTTTTCTGTAATTTTTGCTCCATTGCTTGTATTGTTTTCCTGATATGCAAAAAAAAAAAAAACGAAGTGTTGTGAATAAAATAGTAAAAATTTATTTTTCCGCTACTCACGCTGCCTTAACTTGTCGTTCTTTGAGCTCCCTTATCTGCAGCTCTGCTTTATTTAACTCTTGTTCTTTCATTTTCAATTGCAGACTAGCATTATCCACTTGCTCCTGCAGCGAGCCTACGTCGATTGTACTCGTATCCAAATTGGCCAAGTTGAAATAAAGGCGAAATATATTACGGTCCGTACACTTGGTGCGACATTGGGGGCATGATTTCGAGCTATTTTCAGGGAGTTAAAAATACAATTTCTATTATAATTAACTGCTGCAGGCTTGCGCAAACTTACCGCTCCATCCATTGTTTTAGACATGATATGTGAAACATATGACCACAATTGGTTGCGCGCACATCATCTGAGGCCGCAAAGAGTTCAGCACAAATAACACAATTTAAATTAAGCATTTTGATTTACGTATTAAATAATCAATCAACAGGTACACATTCAATATATACAAAAAAATACCAAGTAGAGAGAGAAATTGTAAGTGCGTTTTTTTCGCAAAATATAATTAACTGTTTTGTTCCTACTTTTTGTATTTCTTATTTTACATTCTACTTTGTTTACTGCTTTTGCCGCCAATTCTTACAACGGGCCCGACTGTCAAAAAAACAGCTGAATTTTGACAACCATAATTGTCCTGATGTTTCGGTTTGTTTGAGTAACCGGAAGTAACTTAAATACCCAGTGAGACAAAGGCAAACCATAACAGTAATTTTTCATAATAAATTTACAATTTTAGTAGAAAATAAATATAAGAATATCAGTAAAACTTAAAAAGAATGTGTTGTATTGGGTTGCGCCAAAAGAAACCGGCGATTTATAAAAGAAAGTAAATACATTATTTTTCAATTTTATAATGAACTTTATTGAATCAATTCTGTATTTTCTGTTTTTTGGATGGCCTTTCGCTATCTTTCCGGCAACATCATTCTTCCACTGCCTTTATCTGCAAAAAACTGAACTAAGTGCGATTTTATAGCCTCGAAAATTTTACCATTAATTGATGAATGGATTCTGAATAGATCGAAAAAAATGGCAAGGCTATATGGTGGATGCATCAACGGTTCCCAGCCAAGCTTTCTCAGTTTTTGGCGAGTGATCAAAGATGTGTGCGGTCTAGCATTGTCCTGGTGGAATATGACACCTTTGACCAATTCTGTCCACTTCTGATGGATGTGTCAATTTGCCAGGGTGCCCACAGCAGACATTCGAATTGATCGTTAGGTTCCTTGGAAGCAGCTGAAAACATGCCGCACTCTCCCAATTCCACACACTGACAACATAAACTTTTTGGTAAATATCAGCCTTTAAAGTGGATTGTGGCGCTTCATCATGCTTGGACCACCATCGTTTTCGTTTTTCATCTCCTTATGATTTTCTTCAAAAGCGGATCATATTCATTGCGTTTAAGATGCTTATCACAAGCGTTGAAGCGGTTTGTTAAATGAATTTCTTTCAATTCATGTAGTCCAAGACGGAGTATGTGATTATGAACGTTTGATTATGGTATACTTATCTTTTCTCTCGGAACTCACGTTCAGTTACAAGCCGATCCGATTCGATTAAAGCCTTGCTATCACCATCAACATCACTGGGCTGACTTGAACGTGACCTATCTTTGAGTGAAAAATCTCCCGAATGGAATTTGACAAATCAACTTCGACACTGTGTTTCTTGCAAGGCCTTAACACCATTTAAAATCGCATATAATAAATATATTATGATATTTATATTATGATATTTATTATGGTAATGTTGAACTAACACTTCATTATTCTTCAAAAAAAAAAAAAGTTATGTGCCAAATAAAATATTTTTATTTAACTAAATTTCCATTCAAATCAAATTTCGCTTGCTTTGATGGGTTAGCGTAGTATCTCAATATGATCCTGCCCCCTCTTGGTCGAGCTATGTATCATATCAACATACATATTTTATGGTTTTTTTAAGTGTGGAAGACTGAAAGCGATGCAGAGAAAAAAACAGCTGATTTCTGCGTTGGACCCATGGCTAGACGACCCTTTTGGGTACTACGCATTACACGAACACGTTCGTAAATAATTCTATTAGATAACTCACGAACGGGAAGGCCAGTAAAATGGCAGCTCAAACGTTCTTTTAAATATCGGAGTGATAGTTATGGCTCAACAAGTCAACCACGTAATGACTCAACGCCCTTTGGAAGCGACCGTTTCATGTTGACGCTTGTGGCGGCCGTAGGACAGCAATCTAAAGTGCTATAAAACAGACGCGGCTAATTAAATTTGATTGATTTTAAATGCAAAAACATTCATTTGTTCATTTTTTACATTAAATTTTTATTCTTTTTATTTTTTATTAATGCGTTTTGTTGTTAATTAACAAATTTTCATTATTTAATTTTTTTTTTTACAATTTGTTATTTATTTCGAATAGATTTTCAGTATTTTTTTTTATAAATGAACTTAGTTTCTTTTTGCAATTTATGCCAATTACATATGTTTAAGTACAATTTACAGTCGACATGTGTTGAACATACATTTGTAACATATTTTTTTAACCTACTTACATAAGTACAATATTTATATTATTAACCTACATACATATTTATTAATGATATTCGCTTGTTTATTTATATTTAGTATATTTTTTTTAAACGTTTGTATCCGATGAGATTTGATTTCTTCGCATTGAGAACTTAGCTTTCATTTTGAGAATTAATAAAATTCAATTTACTGTTTACCATCAACATTTTCAATAAATTAAATTAAAACTTAAATCTTGAAAAAAAAAAATAAATAAATTGAATGCAGAAAATGAGCTTTACAAGTTTCTTAAAAAGTTGTTATTAATAAAATCAGGTGTTTGTCGGCGGCTATTGGGGCAGAAGCCACCGGCCACTTGGTTTTAGAAATCAACAACGAACTTATTGGTAAATATATATTTAATATTTATTTTTAAGACTATAAATAATAAGTTTAAAAAAATCAAATTAAACAAATTATGTATATATGCAAATAAAGGAATTAAATTATCTCAAAATAAAATTCTAAATTGTTTGTTATTAAAAACAAACGCAGATCCATTGTGAATACTTAAATTTGCTTCTTCATGCCTTTTGGAACTTGTATGACTACACCGCGGGAAACATTTTCGATATGGGAATTAAAATCGAACGGATTTATCAACAAAATCATGTGTTCTGAGCAGTTCTGAGTTCCTATCAAATTTATTTGAACGGAGTCCATATACGAAACCAATTACTTAGGAATTAGTTTTATTTTCTTAATGATTTTAACAAAATCATGTGTTCTGAACAGTACTCAGTTCCTGTCAAATTTATTTGAACGGAGTGAATGGTAAATTTTATTACTTAGGTAAATTTTGTTACCTCGACAGAATAGGCCTGTTAGTGTGAGGAAGAACTTCAGTGTGCCTCTTATTCTCTTAATACCATGGAAATCGCATTTTCAATTTTAACACAGATTAAATCACACATTAATCACTTTGAATCTTAGACAATCAGCGAATTGCTGTGACTACACGAAATTCTGTTCTTAATTTTTCTTTATTTTCTTTTACTACGATTTCAATAGCGGCGACTGCCACAAATATAAAAACTCATTTGAATTTCACTTTTTTCAATAAGTAACAGTAACTTAAGTAGTCATAAATGTAATGCAAATAGTGACTTAAGTAGCAAAAAAAAAAAAAAAAGAACAAATTAATTTTGATACTTTGACTCGAATTTGCTTAATGCCGATAGAGTGGGGAACACCTTTTTGATGCCGAGTCGAAAATCCAAAACAATGCGGATTTCAGAACAGCCGCAAATATTTTTAAATAATTTAATTTTTAACGATTCGAGAAAGTAGCTCAATAAAAGTGTATGAAAATCGTTCTTGGAGCTGCTTTCGCGTTCGCGAGCAAAAAGTCAAATCCAAAGCGCAGTTCTCAAGCGGTTAAGGGTACCTCAGTGAAATAATGAAAAACGTTCTCCTAGGCAGATTCAGAAGTTTCAATTTAGCTTAAGTTGTCTGTTACTTAAACTATTAAATGGAAATCCAGTTTATTAGCAAAGAAAAAAGCGCACTGCCGCACACTCAGCGGCGCTTTGCAGTTTGGTAGCTCTCTAGTAAGTACGGAATATTGTACAGCCGTCAAAGCCTGTTTCCAGTTTCAGCTCACAGCTGTGTTAACCCAATCCAGGGTGTTTGGCTATTTGTTAGACTCTATTCGTTTAATGTCAAGGGAATAAGAAAAACAAAACTACGAAATATTACAAGAAAATATGCAACGGCACGTCACTGAAAGTATTCACGATGGAATAAAAAAGAAAATACGGCTTATATTAACAGAGTGATTCACATGACTAGTTCTCAATGCTTTTAGTAGCTAGATATACATATATATGTATATGCATAATGTATGTATATTAATATAGTATTATGCATATAGTACTTAATACTTATATGTATGTATTAAGTGTTATGAAAATAAATTAATGATTTTTGATTTTCTTGAATTTTCTTTGCATTCTCAGTGGAACTTGCCTTCCGCTAACTTAATTTAATATTAATATACATACACATATATATATTTATTTATTATTTTTTTCATTATTTATTCAACAGCTGCAGTTTATTAAATTAAATGCACATTTACATATACATATACATATATATATATATATATATATTTATTTATTGTGTATATATATATGTATATATATACGTAGCTTAACTACAACATTTACTACTCAGTGTATGTATGTATTTGTTTGTTTTAAATCAATTTATGAATTAATTTCTAGTTTTACACTATACTGTAGTTAACATATTTTTATACAATTTCACAAATTTTCAAAATGTCTTATGTTTAACTATGTTACCCATTTTTCCCGAAAAATTACATAGTTTTTATACTGTAATTTTGTATTTAATATTAGTATTTATTGCTTTAACTATGTTTTTTTATACATTTTTTTCTTGCACTAAATTATTTATCTCTTAAGACAATCTATAATAGTAACTACATTATTTATGTAATATAGCTTACATTATGTGGGTATGCAAATATTTAAAGAAATCCAATTTTTTTTTTTTAATTATTTTTAACTCTATTCTATTTATTTTATTTTTAATTAATATTACTTAAACATTTAGCAATAATTTATTTTATATACCTTATAGGCATATTTAGATGCATATATATATATATATATATATATAAATATATATATAATTATATTTAAGCTAAGCGAGTTTTATAAAGACTGTACATAGATAACAAAATCTTATATTTATTTAACACACTTTAACTAATTATATTTAGATTTTAGTATGCACATATTCATATATTTTTTATATTATAAATACAAACGACATTTCTTAATTTAATATAGTCAACAATTCATGTATGTTTGTTTGTATAGTAGTTATGTATTTAGTAAATCTATAATAACTGTTTATTGAATATACAACTATTTATGAGTAGTATTGAACAAATGTTTGTTTGTATGTGTACGCATAATACTTTTTGTTAATATTTTAATTCATTTTAAATATTTAATATTAATGTTTTTTTGTGTTTCTTTTTGATTTGTATGCTTAGTTATTGTTTTTGTGTTTTTTTTGGTTTTTTTTAGTAGTTTGTTTAAATTATGCTCAACTTTTAATCAACAATTTAACATTTGAAATATTTTTTTTTAATTTTCTACTTTCAAAATAAAAAAATAAATAGATAAACAAAAAACAAAAAAAAAAAAAAATGTTTTACAATTTAAAGCGCACTCTTAAGTATGTGCATTGGCCATAAACTATCTACATTACTTTATGCTGTACATTTGTAGTTTTTTTTTTAATGATATTCAAATGAGCAGTTTGTTTGTTTTTTTTTTTAGAAAATTTCAGTTTCATAGTTTTATTGAAAGTTTTTCTTTATTTTACTATATTTATTATTATTATTTTTCAATTTACTGCTAATTTACACCTGAATGTATTTACATTTGTTAGTTTTGCTTATACTACAATACATATTTATTTTTTAATTTTTTTTTTAACTAATACTTATAAACATGAGCACGATATGATTATAAAATTTTGTTTTTTTCATTTTGATTTTTTTTTCTATAAATTTATACATCAATGCTTGGTGTTAGTTCTTGTATTTTTCATTATAACGGATCTTATTATTTGAATTGCATATTTGTATTTTTCATTATAACGGTATTTTGGTTTCACCCGTAGCTTTTAGAAATTACTTAATAGTTTTCTTTTTCCAAAACTCAAGTTAAGTAAGAGTTTTTTTAGTTAGAACAGAAAATTGAAATATTTTTTATGTTTTTTCTAATGTTCTTCCATTTACGGACTGATGTAGTATTTGAGAGCTGCTTTTTATTAGATTTTCAAAAGATTGGCTCTACTTATGGCGTTTAGAAGCTGCAAATGTATGCTGGAAGAAATAATTTTTGTAGGCTGCTCATCCTTAGTACGTCTGAAAAAAAAGAAATTTAAAGTTTAATTAATAAATTAAAAAAAAAATGTCTCTCAGCCTAAATGTAGGCAATAAGTTAATATAAATTGCAAAAATAAAACTTTATAAATAAAATGTTGCCTATCTTCAGGCTGGCAATTACTTCAAGATACCATTTACTGTAGGCTTTTGTAATATAACTATTTTCAATTTACTAACATTTAAGTCAATTACTGGTTGTTATAGCAAAATAAAAGCTTCTTGCTTAAGAAGTGAAAGTTTATTTAATTATATATATGTGTGTGTAAAAACCTCACTTTCTTTAGTTCACACTGTTCCGTTTATTGCTTCACATCCCTAAATGTAGGCAACAAGCTATTTTTAGTCGAAATTTTAGAATGTTCTAAAATAAAAAAAAAATTCTAAAATAAAACATTGCCTGCTTTCTGGCTAATCTGACCGTTTCAAACCCCCCACTATTCACGTCATTCAATGATAGCTAAGCGAAAAAAAAAACAAAAAAGTGTAATGCATTTTGTGAAGTAAAGAATTTCTTATAAATAATAGATATAAAGGCAGAAGTACGAAAATCACTTATCATATTAAATTATAATAGAAGTTTGTGTCTGCTACCCGCAGCATTTACACTCAAATACAAACATACAAACATATTTTTTTCTTATCAATTTTCCCGTGGAAAAAAGGCAAAAGTTTTATCTGCATTTTATCACTGCCGCTGTCAGCTTCACTCGAGAACTCATTATCATGTTCATTCTCGTTTATATTTTATTTCATCGCATTTTTCCCCTACTACATATGCATGTATGTATGTATGTAACTCTCTTCTGAAATCTGCCATCAAAGTTGACCGTTAGCCCTCTCGCTTATTATTTGTCATTTGGCCGTCGCCGTCGCCGACGCCACCGTTGCTGCCATGGCATTAACTGTCATCAGCAAGCAACGTTCAGTTGACCCGCGGACTTTGGTTTTCTCTTAGAATATTTGCGATTTTTCTTTTACCATTACCATAAGGCTTTCATTGTATATGTACGTGTACGTAAGTACATACATATGTAAATAAGTAAAAGAAGCAGCATTAAAATAAAAACCAGCCGCAAAAATGAGCATGTATTGTGGAAAATGAATGAATGCACATACATACATACGTGTACATACAAATATGTACACGTGCATATGCGGCTTGGTATGCATGAGTGTGCAACATTCAGGAGTTGCAGCTAAAAACTTTTTTATAAAAAAATAAAAAAAAACCCAAGAAAATACCGAATGGCATTGGGAAGTAATAAAAGTAAATGCCGGATGATAACACTTGATGCGATGCATTTCTTTGTTGTACCGTAAGTTAGCGCTAAACGTTCGAAGAAATAAGTGAGAGCAAGAAGAAGGTGTAAGAAAATAAGGAATTAAAAAGTAAATTTGCAAAAGTTTGCTCGTTTAAAACTTGCAATGTGGTTGAATTTCACACCAACGTAGGCAGGTAGTGCCAAAGAAAAACGATTATAAGAGAAAAAGAGGGATGTGAGCTGAAAAAGAGCAAATTCAAATAAGAAAACAAATAGGGTAGAGCCTAAACTTTCCTGAAACTGTCTTCCATAAGGTAGTCTACTGAGAGACTGTTTTCCTAAAGACTGTCTGTTGAGAAACTGTTTTCCTAAAGACTGTCTTCTAAAACTGTTTTCCAAAGACTGTCTACTGAAAGACTGTATACTGAAAGACTGTCTACTGAAAGACTGTTTTCTGAAATACAGATTTCCGAAAGAAGGCTTCTGAACGACTGTCTACTGAAAGACTGTCAACTGAAAGACTGTCTACTGAAAGACTGTATACTGAAAGACTGTCCTACTGAACGATTGCTACTGAAAGACTGTCAGCTGAAAGACTGTATACTGAAAGATAGTTTTCTGAGAGACTGTCTCCAGACAGACTGTCTTCTGAAATACTGCCTACTGAAAGACTGTCTACTGAAAGATTGTCTTCTGAAAGACTGTCTACTGAAAGACTGTATACTGAAAGACTGTCCTACTGAACGATTGCTACTGAAAGACTGTCAACTGAAAGACTGTCAACTGAAAGATTGTATACTGAAAGACAGTCTTCTGAAATATTGACTTCTGAAAGACTGTCTTCTGAAATACTGTTTTCGGAAAGACTGTAGTCTGAATGACTGTCTTCAAATTAATTACAAATGAAGCACTTGTGCGTTAGGCGTCACTAAGGAGGAACCCTTTCTAACAGGTGCAATGTATGCTTGGTAAGGCAGACACGATGAAGACTACTTCAATAAAGCACCGTTTGTCATCCCTGATATTGAGCCTATTTGCATACAAGTAACGCTAAAATCTAGCTGCATGCGTAAATGTTCTTCACAATTGGGTCCTGTCCGTGAAGGCATTCAGAAAATTACAAAGGAAGTCCGGCTTAACGTAAAATCGACGGATAAACAGAGTGTAGATTGTACTCTGCGCTCATTTAGACTGTGGCCTGTAACAAGAAAGCCTATTATTAGATTTCTAGTAGACAGTCAAGCGGCAATTAAGTGCGTCAAAAAAGGCCAAATCTGTTAGAACAGGCAAAGGGTCAATTAACAGACAGACGCGGGAAACACAGCAAAATATCACTTGGGTTTCAGGTGGAAAAGATAGGGTGGATAGTAGGCAGACTCAGCTGTAACTTGAACGAAACAAAAGCGAACGTAGCATTCTTTAGAGTCTACTAACCCAGCATCTACCTCTGAGATATCATCTCCATAAGTTAGGTAAAGCAGAATCGGGTGTGTGCAGCGCATGCAAAGAGTATGTCGAAACGCTGGAGCTACGCTTCAGAGTGTCTGACCATTAGCCGATTGAGACGTCGGATCTTCACCGCTGCTTCATGATTAAAACTCAAGAAGGTGGACACGCCGGGTTGAAAAAAAACTTAAGGAATTTACAAAATCGAGCGAACTTTTCGCAAACGCCTTATTGGAATACACGGGAAAGCACAATGAGCTTGCTTAATGGCTTAAGTGCGGCCGCTTGTGGTCAGATCAATTAAGTATGTCTTTTACAAGACTGCCTTAAGACTTCTTTAGTTGCAAATCATTTAAGGAGTAATAAAATTAAGTTTGGTTGAAGCAAAAACAACAACACATGCATGCAATTATATAAATACCGGTAATTACCGATTAAACAGTATTTTAACTTCAAATTTTTCAAGCAATCAAGTTTTCGTGGTTTTCTTTCTTCAACCATTTACAATTTGAAGAATTTTGTATGCAAACGTAAAAAATGTTCCTTTATTTTATGTGCCCACTGGCGTTGAGTTATGCAGGAAAACTTCACTTTCCGCCTCACTTGACAGCCGCGGACTTTCGAAACGGATGTTGCGAAAAATGCACCCTCCAGCGATTGTCAAGCGTAAAACATCTTAATAATAGGCATATTAGTCCGCACCGCCTTTGCGTCGAAAAAACGGATTGCTTTTATGCGGTAACGACAGTTTGTCAGCATGCAAATTGATTGATTGATTGTCATCAGGCGCAAATGTTGCTGATTGGCGGCAGAGCTGGTTGAGAAGGTGCACGGTGTGATAAGAAGCCTATAAAATTTGATTGAGTGGTAAAATTTCGAAGATTTTGTATAAATTGTAAAGAAATCTTTACTGCTAAATATATACGTGAATTTTTAGAAATAGAGTATAAAAAATAGGTGGTACGTTTTGAGCACAGACATACTCCTAAATATGTATGTATGTTTGAAATAATTTATACATTAAGAGAACAAGAACTATTTATTTTTAGATTTAACATTATTTTGTTGTATTGCTGGTGCTTTTAGTTCTGTAAACGTTTACCAAACGATATGTTCCCAGAAGAAGTAGCTAAGGATAGTTAGAGTGGACAAATAAGATGAATTATTGCCTACATTTAGGCTCATTATGAGAAGTAAAATAAATTTTCCAATTTTTTTGGCCACGTTTTCACAATAATAACACACAGTGACGAAGGATTCAAATTGAGGAAGAGCGTTGAAATTCACCTAAATATCAAATATTTTCGCATTCACTAATGAGTATGCCAAGCATTAAAACGAGCGAAAAACTGTTGAATGTGCATGACTTAGAAAAACGTTCTTCCATTTAATAGGTTCGCTACGGCAAGTGGGTCACCATTTTTTCGGTTATTAATTTATTCAAGTTTAAATTTGCTCAGTAATAATAGTATGCAAAAATTATTAGAAAAACTTACATCTGCACATCTACATTATAACAACTACAACGATGCCTAATTAAAAGCTTTTCCGTTCTATCGAAGCCAGCACATTACAGGATACATTTCCATTTAATATTTACGAATTATTACAAACAGGCATTGTTTTCTTTCCTTAGAATAATCATAGACTTATTAATGGAGTGTAATGCAAAATTAAATTACTTAAACATAATACTCGATATTATTAAAGGATTGTCATGAGCAGATATTGAATAATTAATGAATAGCTCAAAATATAAAAAAAAAATAAGATTAAGAAAAAAATTAAATAAAATAAAATAAAATAAAATAAAATAAAATAAAATAAAATAAAATAAAATAAAATAAAATAAAATAAAATAAAATAAATTAAAAAAATAAGGAAGCATTAATTAATTTGTATTAAAAGTCAGATAAATTAAAGAGATTATCGTAAGTTTTGTTATTTAGATGCTAAGTGGAAAAGGAAATTAACAATGAAATCGAATACATTTTGTGTGTTTATTCTGAAGAAAATAATAATAACTATTTCAAAATACTATGAATTCAACTAAAATTTCTTTACCGCTGTTTTCTTTCAAAGAAAACGTTTCTTAATTCTTTTCGCAATTCATTACATGCCTGGCCGAAGTATTGAAGTTGCAAGATTTCCCAATAAAATATATAGCTCTTGCTTCTCACTCTAAAAACCTCTCCTACTTCAACTACTATTTTCTTCTCCCACAGTTTTGATTTTTAATTTGTGAATTTTCTTCTTTAAGTTTTGTCTATTCCATAACCAGATTAGTCTACATACATTTGTGTGTATATAAGGAAAGCTTTGAGCCACACAATCAGCCAACAATAGTCAACACTTCTCAGGGCAATTTTAACTGGGCTTCTTTCCCCTAAATTCACTGTCCCAAGTGATATCAGTCTACACTCTCTTATTCGTTTTTTTCTTTGCCTCTCATGCATACAATACTTCCGCAATTGCTTTAGAAAAATATTTGTGTTGACGAAGAGAGACATGAAAAGAACTGCGAGCTTGCGTGTGTGTGTGTTATGGAGTGTATGCTAAGGATACGCAAATGCAATCAATTTGCTTCAGTGATTTTGTACAATAACAACAATAACGCCAGCAATTACGTATCATTCTTAACAGCCAAGAGGAAATATTGTCTTTGGTATTTTCTTAAATTTTCTGCTCTCCTTTTTTCATTTGTCTTTTTTTTTTGTCATTTGTCTCTGTTAAAAGTGGCTGGCGGGAGATTTTCAGAAATGTTGCGTATACGTACTGGTGGTACGTATTAAAGATTTTGTGTATATGTGTGTGTGCTTTTTTTTTTAAGAACAAATTTGCCATGTCTGAGGATGTAATTTCAGCCAAACAGACACAAATACAAATTTATATTTATATTTACAATGGGGTAAAGTGCAGTGATTGCTTGTTAGTTTGCTTTTTGGTTTTTATCAGCGCAAATGCATTTCCGTCGGTTTGGTTTTTGGTCAATTTATATTTGCAAGAAATCATTGCTATCTTCCTTCCATTCCTCCTGTGAAGTTTCGATTATTTTAAATAAAGAATTTTTTCTTTAGTACCATTTTAGTATATTTAGGGAAGGTGGATGAAGACAAATTTCTTTGGTATCGAAACCTTCCTGAATGAATCTCCAAATATTTTGAGACTAGAAGGTTTGTTTGTGGTCTGAGTATTAAAAGTTTCACAGAGATATGCCAGTTGTGTTTCTTTTTCTCATGGTTCAGGGGCTAAGCTTCCAGTCAATAAAAGATCCTTCTTCCATATTTGTAGAGCAGAAAAAGCTGCTGCCCCCATGCATTCCCCTTAACTACATCTCCGTCCCAAATACGAGCACACTAAAGATATTGGGAATTATATTTGATAAACATCGAGAATTTCTTACCTCGCCAATAAAAACAAATTTTAGTGGAAGCCATCAATTATCTCTCGCAACTTAAGTTAAATCGAATAGCAACACTGAGAAAAGTCCTAACACATCCTCATACTCACTTGCCAGACTTCGGTCTTATAAGTAATTTAGTCAATCATCCGAAGAGGCATGTGTATAAAGACATTTCTATATCAAAGCAACCGAGCCTTGAAGGTTGAATTGGGAGTTCTTGTTTAGAGATGGCTCCATATAAGACACTAGCACAGCTACGTATTACTATTATCGACTAGACCCTAGACTGAGTTGCTGGGCACAAATCCAGCATGCTGCAGTTAAAGCCTTCAAAGTCACTTTTAAGCTTGGTGGACTAATAGCTAAGATAGGAGGTCCAACCCAAGGAAAAAAGAAGTTTATCATGGCGACAGCACTTAATATTTTACTGTATGGAGCCGAACTATGGGTGGACTCACTTAAGAAGAATAATAGGCGAATGGTACTGGCCAATTATACCGTACGGCGGCTTTGAGAGTAGTATATCGGCATATTGTAAGCCAACAGGGAAGCTAAATCTATAATGTACGGAAGCATTCCCATCGGCCTATTGGCAGTAGAAAATAAAAGAAACTGGAGGCTTACAAAAATGAGGAACCAAGGATGCACCGTCAATATAAGCAGAGAGGACAAAAGGAAATAAACCTTGAAACAGTGGCAAGCTCGATGGAAAGAAGGAAACCATGGCCGATGGACGGCCAGATTGATAGCAGCCGTCGGGTATGGTAGACTACTATGCAGCGCTTGGGTCCGCATTGAGAAAAGCTTGAACTCTTCTGCTTACTGAAATCAGCTTACATTCAGTCCAACTGTTTGAGAAATTTGTTTATTGACTCTGTGTTCAACCATCAGTATAACACTGCGACAGTTAAGTGTTCGCCGCATTCTTGAAGGTGCAGTCTAAGCCTGGTAGAGGCATTAATTTAAACAACCCCCCCCCCCCCCCCAAATACCATGCTATTGTCATTATGGCAAAACGCAATAAACTCCAAACCAATTCACTTGACTTACCGCCTCTTTGGGTTTTCATGAAGATGACAGTTCGACCACTTGCTGGCCGCTTAAATCTTTCCACTACGATAATGCACCGGTCGATGGCCACCGAAGAGTATACGCTTGAACGCTTGTCGAAATTCCGGACTGAATATCGTGTAAATCACAGGATTTAGCGTTGAGTTAAAGTAGCCAAGCCAAAGGAATACGGACGCCAGGCCATCGTTAATCTCGCACGTCTCGCACAGTGGCAACAGCAGTGCCATCACAAAGAATGGCAACCAACAGATAACGAATGCACCGGTGATGATGGCCAATGTTTTGGCCGCTTTCCGTTCACGTTTCGCCTCCAGCGTCTCCTTACGTTTCGTCACCTTGTGCACGGGATTTGCTATGCTGGACAGTTGTTGTTGTTGCTGCGAATGTTTCAATTTTGGCGTGGGCGTCAGCTGGCAGGAGGATGTAGCAGTCATTGTTTGCATTGCTGTGGGCGCCAAGGGATGCAGATGCTCGTCACCGCTGGCACCGCCTGCGGAGATGACGGCGGTTGTTGGTGTTTGCGGTGATAATGCCGATATGGAAGTGATTGTGGTGGCATTCGAGGCACATGCGACCGGTGGCATTGTCTTACCACCACCACCAACACCACCAACACCACCATCAGTCCCTATCGCTGCCGTCGTTGGTGTTGTGATCGTTGTGTCAACTTGTTGTTGCACTTGTTGCAATTGCTGTTGCAGAAGTGGATCTTCAAGCACTTCGGCAGCGCCATTCGCCACGGCTACTCCGTTTGTTGTTGTTGTTGTTGAATTGCCATTTACCATAGTTGTCGGGTTGACATTAATGCCGTTACTGTCATTTGGCGCTACTATGCATACTTTAGTTGTTGGTGTTGCCGCCGTTGACAACTTATTGTTCTCTATTGTTGTTGTTGTTGTTGCTGTTGTTATTGCCACTTCCGTGGTTGCGCCATTTTGCACTGTATTTATATTTCTATTATTATTACTACTACTTCTACTGTCTTTATGCGGTTGTTGTTGTTGTTGTTGTTGTTGTTGTTGTCGTTGATGTTGTACTGTTGAGGTTGAGGATGCTTTGGTTGCTGCATGCTGTTGATTAGCTAATGCTACCAGGTGGGATACTGTCGATATTTGACTTGTCGAAGTGGTTGGAATCTGTAAGTAGAGAAGAAGAGAAGAATGCTTAGTGTATTGGTGTGTTAGTTAATTACATGGTAAGCGAGACGTAGAGAAAGCATTAAACTAAACTGGCCTAGAGCACAAGCTTCAAAAATATTACTCAGCCAAAGGCAGAAAGCAAAACTCTCCCTTTCTTCAAGGAGAAATTTAAGCCATCGGACTGAAACCTCCGCCGAAACGCTGACGTTTAAGCTCAATCCCAGCCACAGGGTATTAGTTTTAATATACAAAATTTTAAATTCTCATGCTGGAGAGGCTTCCTTGAACTGCTAATCAAAACTGGTCTGTTTTCAGCATTGGCTGAACCAATCATACTGGTCAGAAAAACCTTCAAGTCTGCAGAAAAGTTCATAATTAATTCATTCTTTATCACTTTGTGGTACTTTTAAGCGATTTAATTATCACTTGATATTTATGACAGGAACTGCCTCTAGTGCGTAATACTTTTCAATCTATAACTCATATTAGTTTTAACCCGCCCTTTAAAAGAGCTAAAACTTCCCTAGACAGAGCTTGTAATGTGAATACCATTCTATGTCGCTCTTGAAAGATAATTTCAACATATCGGCAAAGCACTCTGCTCAAATTAGTTTGATGACAATCTTTGTAGCCAATGGTTAATATGTCTGGTGGTAAGTATCTACTCTTCTACAGAGCAATGATTGATTGGAAGAAAAATAAATGGCCGAAGAGAGAGAATTAACTCCCGCCAATTCTCTGCTGAACTAACTAATTCTGATAAAGAAGTAATATGCACTATGGAACCAATGAATATAAAACTTTGGTTTATTATTAAACATCCTGGTTATTTTAAATAAATACCCGGTATTTTTTTTAAATAAATATCAACTATTGTAGCTTCTGTTTTGCGGTAGACAGAGAAAAAAATAAATTATTTAATTGTTTTTTACTTTTTCGTTAATTAACTACTTTTTATTTATTTTTTAGAGTTGGTGTAAAATAATTGCTCGTTACTATTTTCTTACAAAATCAATGAGGAACACATTTATTGGTATTTCTTATATAAATGCATAATGGTAAGTAACTTTGCTAAAATATTACCACAGTGCCTCAATGTAGGCAACATTTTTTTCATATTTTTCAAACTGTCCTGCCAATGCCACTTTCGTATTTCAATAGATACTTTCCTTAGTTATTTTCACATCGATACTATGCCAATTATATATTTTCAGAAATTAATTAAGTAGCAATATGTAATGAATTTAATTCCTAAATCTTTGTTCTTAAGGCTTATTTTAGTGGAATACAACTTGGCTTAATATCGTCAGAGTGCCTAAATATAGGCAACGCTTTTTATTTTTCCCATCACAGTTATTTCAATCTATCCAGTCATATTGCTTGATTGGCTTTAGCTCCAAAAAATTTGCAATAAAATGCATTTGCAATGCTGTAAAAATATGTAATTTGAATTTTTTTATTATTTTTCTTTAAAAATTGCTTAAAGTAGCTATGAGCTGTGTTAGCCCTGATTCCGACAAAGAAAACTTCTATCCGAACTTTATATATTTTTTGGTAATAGTATGAAGATCTGCTAAAATGTCAATGCTTAAAGGTAGGCAACATTTGTATACATTTCATACTCGCTACTCTCCATCTAGCAATTCAACGATTTTTTTTTTTAACTCAGAAATGCCAATGGAAAATTTACACAAGTCGATTAAGAAGTAATATGTATAATATTTAATTTGCATTTACTGTCAAATTATTTACTATTTATTAACTTTACTTCATGTAGTTTTGAGTAAAGTTCTCTTTAAAATAAATGAAATCATTTTCAGGCTAATATTATGATGGTGTGCGTCTATGCTAAATATCACCAGACTTCCTAAGTGTAGGTAGCGTTTTTTTTGTATTCTCCATACAAATAATTTTAGTCACTTAAATTGACTGCTCTTTTCGATTATTTTCATACCCTAACAAAAGCCAATTAAAAAATTTCCCAAATTAGTATCTCATTAACAAATTCACGTGTAGACTTACTCAAGCGGTTTTGAGTTAGTTGAATCTGTACTCATTCACATATGTACAAACTAATTAAAAAGGTACGAGCCGTTAACACACAAAAGGGTGCTGAAGTTGTACACAAATTAGCATTACGTAGTCATAGACATGTACATATATATGCATGCCTCTGCGCTGGAAGCTTATAATACAATACTTTGCTGTATTGCCATACCAACGACTTGAGTTCAATTCTCGTCACAACATTTTCAACCAAATGAAACTTATTTCCACATTACAACGTTTCTCTCACAGCTCGGTTTGATGAGCGTGACAGCCGTGGCCAAGTTGGCTACCAACTACCGTGAAAACCACCAAGACGATGCCAGTGTGGCAGCAAGTGATGCGGTACACTTCGCCATTGCCTCCATTGAAGCACTTAGGCATTGTATATATATATATATATTCAAGTACTTATATATAACATATATACGAGTAAATACTTGAATACAGGTGCTTACGGTAGAATAGTTATGATTACGTATTTATCGCTCGCACTCAAAGTTGGAAATTCGGCGCATTGAATAAATCGTTCCATGGAATTTGGCTTACAAAGTGGTCATTAGTGGTATACGATTACATATATATATGTGTATGTGTGTGTGTGTGGCGCAAGTGTCCTACGTCCTGTGTAGAAATTAGCATTTTAAATCAGTGTTGCTCGCACAAATCATACAAATTGCAATCATAAATTTTTAGTACCAGCATATTTCGTTGTTGTTGCTTTCTTTAGAAAGTAATTCATTTACTTTATGCATAAATTATATAGCGTAATTTTATAGGCGATAAATTTTTGATACTAATGACATCCAAAACGCACGATAAAACCTCTTGTTACTATAAATAAATGCGTAAAAACGTAAATAAATAAATGAGCAGGAAAATAGAATATCAAATTTACTAATCAAAAATTGGATTGAAAAATATAATTTTGTGGAAATATGGAAATCAGCGTATATAAAATATTTTTTTTTTTTTTGCAAGAATTTTTTTTTATTATAAGACTTTATCCTTGTGAAAGACTACATCATTGAAATGAACGCAGCGCAAATTTTTGCAAACTTAGATCAGTTTGAAGTAATTGTGGTCATTCCACGCCCAATTTCCGCAGCATACTTTTAGGCATTAGGTTTTGCTTCTCGTCATTTGGGATATGTGCATACGGTTGTTGTTGTTGTTGTTTTTGTTCAAGCAATATCTCTAACGGACCCCGTCTCTTCAAATTTCTTGAAAACTTTACCATTGCTTTAGTAGTAGAACGATTAGGTGCACCATAATCTCCTTGAATCACCGTTTTTATAGTAGGATTTGAAAATTTTAACGCATAGTGCCGTTGCTAAGTGTGCCATTTTTCTAAATGTCTGACTTTTAACTAAAACTAAATGTCTGACTTTTAACTAAAACGAAAAATTTTTGGCTTTCCAATTAAAATTCACACATGTGAAAATACAGCCCAGTAGTTTTGAAAGCACGAAATGAATAACCCTATATAATTGGGAATTTATAATTTCTAACCGCTCAAGTGTTTTCGGCGGAGCTAACTTCGAATTTGTGGTGAGCGCTTTGTGGTTTTGCCAGCAAATCGGAAATCTGGAGTTTGCATTAAATTAATTTTTAATAAACATACCGATGAGATAATTATTTATTTAAATTATCAAATATTTTATATACAGAAAATTAAGATTATTTTCCTATTTACAAATAAATATACCGGTATTTTTGTAATCGTTAATCGGATTAAATTACATTTTTTGGTTCTGGTTCAGTACACAAAATAGGTATGCGCCCTCACTAACCTACATATAAAATATTTGATACCCCCAATTGTAGGCAACAATTTTTAAATCTGTACATATTCCTAAAATAGCTATTACAATATAGTTGTTACACAATTTAATTTAAGTTAACACTGAAAGTAAATCCTTAAAAAATATTTAATTAAATTAAATTAAATTTTTTTTTGGAAATAAATGAGAAATACCATTTTAAATATAGAAATGTCAAGAATTCATAAAAATTTTTAAATTCTTTGAGTTGAGATTTTGGATAAACACAACTTTTGAGTTCTACATTAGAAGAAATTCTTAAAATACACTTTATTTAAAGCGTTCACAAAGCTACTTATTTAGTTATAAAATTTTGTGTTATATTAGGCATATTTGAAGCACTTTCGAGATGATTTAGATGTATATATAATATAATATCAACTTAATTATTCCTCCCTTTTGAAAATTATTACTCAATTCATTATCCTTTTAGGAATTTTTTATTTGCCTTTTTATGTATCTTCGCTCACAATGAATTCACAATATTTAATTTCAAATTCCACTCACATAACACATACATGTAAGTGGCCCACCCTACGTGAATGACTATCAATCCAATATTGTGCATTTTTGTATCTTACGCTCAATTTAATCAAATTAATGTTGTATTTCAGTACATTTATTTTATTTCGGTGTATTTTTTATTTTATTTTTTACTTATTTTATTATTTTCCAAAACCTGCACCATGGAAAATGTATGCCAATGCAAAAGCAAATTTGTATATTTCTATACATATATATATTAATATATATATATATATATATATTAATATATTTATGTATGTTTATAAACAATATTAAAATAAGCACATAAATGTATGTTAGCGACAAAATTGGCAGCAAGCGACCTACAGCCAATTTCTTCATTTCACTTTTATATATATTTTCATGTTTTTCCTTTTTCGTTGCTTTTTGTGGCTCTGTGTATTTGCTGTTGAGTGTCGTTGGCCAACGTTGAAGTGTTATCGATATTATTGCCGGGTTTATGAGGTGTGCGCTCCGCTCGTCCGCCCTACTACCGCGAGCCCAGTTAGAGCAGCAGATTTTTACAACGCATTTTCTTAATATAAATTTTCATCACGGTCATCAATGATGTTTTTTGTTTGCTTTATTTTTTTATTGATATTC